GCGAGACGATTGAGAATTCCTCGCGAAGCTCTTCGCCAAGATGAGCTAAGAGGAATTCGGGCGCAGGACGGAGCTAGTTGGCAGATCCGACCTTAAGAGACAATGTGATAACTTGGGGTCGGTTCTTCTATCTTTCTGCAAAAACTGAAAGTTCGTTTTGAGGACCTGTGTTTTTCCCACCTCAAGTGGGTTCTGCCGCGTCTGCCAGTTTCTATCAAAAGACTTGAGGGAACCATCGGCCGTTTCGAGTCATCTTGACACGCGTTCACGGTTTTCTGTACTTAACTCGAGATTTAGGACAGCTAGAGAGATGATGCTTACAGAAACCAATTTATAATCATCAGGTGCGTTCGTCTGTGGTGTGAACTCGGTCTTCTACTCGAGCTAGATCCGCGAAGCTATTCGTCTTACACCAGTGATCTTGACAAGTGCTGTCGATTTCCCTTAACTGAAGATTTAGAATAGCTACAACTGGTATGCATATAAAACGATCCAGTATCACCCGGCGCTGTCTTTCCTCGCATGGACAGGTCTGACCTATGTCCACGAAACGAAGCTGCATTTTTTTGAAAAAAAAAAATGTGTCGAGCTTTTCTCCACGCTTGAGAAAGCTTCTTTCTTGTGTTCCGAGGAGCGCCGCGCGAGAACAAAGCTCTACGAGGCTTCGGCGCTTACCTGGTTGACGGTTTACCGCCGGATCCCAGTCGGTGCTCTTTCCTCCTGGGTTCTTGTGCTGTTTCCTTCAGCTTCATGTGCCTTGGCCTCCACTTCTTCCACCGTGGTGTCAACCTCATCGTGGGCATGTTCATCTCCCACTGCTGGACCTCCTCCTGGGTTCTCAGCCGCTCCTTCTGCATTTTCTCGGCATTCCTGAGCTGCAGTCTCGCCTTTTCTATGGCTTGGTCCTTTTTGTGCTCGCTGATCTTTCTGGGGGCCTCCCTGACGTCCTCCTTGCTCTCCTTCGGCTTCTCATCCGCTGTGGGTGCGCGTGGCTGCCCTGCTGGTGGGTGGTTGCCTCAATCTCGCCGTAGGCTATGGCGTTTGCTCTCTCCTGCGTCCTGCGCGGATGTCCCCATCCGATATTTTCGCCTTGACTCCAGCATCTTTGGCCATCTCGTCGCTCGTCTGTACCTCGCATAGCTCTTCGTCATCGATGAACTAGAGGAATTCCGGCGCGGGGTGGAGCTAGTTGGCCGCCGAGCCGACCAAAAGAGACAATCTGAGATATTTGACAATTCATTTGGAGAACCGGCAATTTTTCTCACGTGCGGTGGGTTATGCCGCGCCCGCCAGTTAAATTCTCAGGTCCGTAGCTGCACTATTACTATCAAAATATTTGCAGGAACCAACTGCGTTCCGAATCATCTTGACACGCGTTGACGGTTTTCTGTACTTAACTCGAGATTTCGATACAGAGCTGATATTTACAGAAATCGATTCAGAATCATCAGGCGCGTTCGTCTGTTGCATCCAGAGGCCTCAACTCGGTCTGCTACTCGAGCTAGTCCGTCAAACTATTTGTGTTTTTTCGAGTCATCTTGACCAGTGCTGTCGGTTTCCTGTACTCAAGCTTCAGATGAGCTACAGAGCTGGTGCGCACATAAACTGATTCAGTATCACGAGGCGCGTGCGTCTGTTGCATCGAGAGGCCTGAACTCGTTCTGCTACTCGAGCTAGGTCCACAACACTATTCGTCTCAATTTCTCTGTGAGGCGCTGTCGGTATTCCACCAGGACGGCCACCTCGAGGCTGGCAGGAGCGAGCACGGGGGCCGCAGCGCACCCGGAGGCCTCCCCAGCGGCGCCCCGAGCAGAGCCGTCGGACGGCAGACGCCTCGGCGTCCGGTTTCCAGGCCTTGCTCACTCGAAGTCGTCCACGCCCCCTCGAGCCACAGTCCACTCCCTGGCCATATCAGCTCAAGGCTTCCCCCCCCCCCCCGCCCTTCGAGCGGCAGCCTGCGTGCCCAGCCCTGACCGTATGGCCTCGATCTCCTGCCGCCCCCATGGCACCCGGGTCCTCTCGGGGATGGACCCCCCCCCCCTAATAAAACGTGGTTTAGTGAAAACGACCTGAGGCCCAAACCTGGCGGGCGCGAGCCTGGAAAACAAGGGCCACGGCGCCCTCTCAAGAACCGAAAACGGACAATTCACTAATCGACGTGTCACTGTTGGGGGTTCTGTCCACCCCTGGTCCTCCCCAAAGAGGGAAGTGGGTCCATACTGCAACTGAAGAGCACCATGACTCGTCGCCTGGGCAGGGGAGATGCAGAGGCCTGGTCGGGTTGCTCTGATGCGGCCGCCCCGCAGCACGCCCAGGCGGGCCTGCCGAGTCAGCACGGGGTTCTAGCCACGAGCCGGGGGGGGGGAAGGGGGACGAAGGGGCGGAGGACGGCGACGCTAGGAGAGGGAAGCGAGGAGACCGATGGGATGACCACAGCGAGACTGACAAGGAATCGCAACCATAACGGCGGTAAACCGTCAACCTTGGTCACCGCCGGGAACTCGTAGAGCTTCCTTGCCATCTGGTCGCAGCTCTGGTAGCAGACCGATCTCAGGCCTGTAGATACTTTATTTAGACTAGCGCTCCTCAGCATTTCCTTTCGATTGGTGTGCATCTCAGCTCCGTAGCTCGCTTACAGCTCGAATCAAATAGAGAAAACACGTATGTTGGAAGTACGTGATCATTTCTTGGGTCGGCGCTGGACATCGCTCAGCACCTGGCTCACGAAGCGCACCAGGAGCCGCGCAAGCGCCACCAGGGGCCATCGTCCTCTGCGCTCCTCGAGCCTCGAGCCTCGATCCCCCTCTCGACTACACGCCAGCGTGACGATGGGTAAGAGTGACCCTTTGGAGCACGGCTTCTTGGGGGCCGCGGGGGATCGAACACAAGCGCGCAAGATGCTACTACCGCATCGCGTTCGGCGATCCGGAGGACCCCAGTGGGCCCGCACCAAAAAGCCACTCCAGCGAAGGGTCACTCTTACGCGCAGTCGACCCTCTCCCCGGTCTCTCTCAGACTGAACGGGGCCTAGGACGCACAAAAAAATATACATAAATCCCAGGACTCCATCTATCTGCAAATATTTTCTGGACCACGAAGGGCAGCAATTGGGCCACTGAGGGCACGAGCGACTGGGGGCCACGACGGGCGTATATCTGGGCCACACAGCGAGGGGCCACTGAGGGCAGCATCGGGGCCACGAAGGGCAGCGACTGGGTCACAAGGGGAGGGGCCACGAAGGGCAGCAGTGAGGCACAAAGAGCGGAAGCGATCATGGGGCACGAAGGGCATGACCCTGACGGGCGGGCCGAGCGGGCGGATCGATCGCGCGTTTTGCGTGATTAGCCAGGAAATTCCCAGCGAGAGTGCGATCCCAAAGTAAATCCGCCGGCCCCCTTGTGGGGCCACCAGGCTGTAGGCCCGTGATTCGCAGTTTCCTGTACCAGTAGTAGTTTGTAGCTTCCAGTGTTACAGTTCTGCTTCTTGCTGGTTACTGTAACTAGTTGATTGACCGCGCGAGGGAAGGGAGGCCCAAACCAGATTTTTAGCACCACCTGGGCGCGTTGCCTGAATTGCTGGGGGGGCTCAAAATCGACACTCCTCACGTAGATCCGCGGGGTCAGGGTCCAAAAACACATGGGATTTGCCACATTTCTGAAATCCCACCAGCCCTCTGGGCGTAGGTGGTCTAGAGCAGATCCTCTTCCACCCCTCCCTCTTCCCCCTTGGGGAGGGGTTTACCCCTCCCCCTACCCCCTCCCCTGGACCTGGACGGGGGGGGCCGCGGGTAGTTAGAGCGTCCCAGATGGCCCAAGACGGCTCCAAGAGCGCCTCAGAGAACCCAAGATGAGCTCCAAGATGGCTCAAGATAGCGCAAGATCGCTCGAGATGGCTCCTAAGATGGTTCCAAGAAGCCCAAAGACGGCCCCAAGATAACTCCAAGTGGCCAAACAGCTCCCCAAGGAGGCCCCGAAGAGGCCAAAATCGTCCCAAAACCTAAGGAAAATCAATGATTTTTGCTTTCTCGCCTTTTCGCTTCCGATGGCCATCCGAGGCCTGGAGATGGTTCCAAGATGGCCCAAGAGGGCCCCAAGAGAGCCCCAAAAGAGCCCCAAGACGGCCCCAAGAGCGCCCAAGAGCACTCCAAGAGCGTTCCAAGAGGGGTCCAAGAGGCGATTTTAGGGGCTTCCGAGGGGGGACGCTAATTAAACCCCCCCTCTTGTTTGATCGATCTCCTCCAAGATGGCCCCAAGAAGCGCCCAGGAAGCCCCAAGAGGTCCCAAGATGGCCCCAAAATGGCCCCAAGAGGCCCCCAAGAGGCCCCCCGGAGGCCCCCAAGAGACCCCCAAGAGGCCCCAAGAGCCCCCCCAGATGCACCCAAGATGCTCCAAGAGGCCTCGGCGAGAATGCCTAATCATTGATTCTACACAGGTTTTAGCCACATGGAGGCCTCTTGGGGGGGGGCACGGATTAAGATGACTCCAAGAGCGTCTGGGAGAGCCCAAAATGACCTCCAAGATGGCTCAAGATATCCCAAGATGTCTCATAATGGCTTCCTCTGTGTGCTGCCCACTTCTCTGATCGAGGCAATTCCTCTGGGCATCGTTTCTGGATGGGCTGGTGGGGATTCGCGAAGCGACAACAATTCGGTGTCACCCCTCACGCAGATCCGCGGGGTCAGGGTCCAAAAACACATGGGATTTGCCACATTTCTGAAATTCGGTGCCACCCCTCACGCAGATCCGCGGGGTCAGGGTCCAAAAACACATGGGATTTGCCACATTTCTGAAATTCGGTGCCACCCCTCACGCAGATCCGCGGGGTCAGGGTCCAAAAACACTGGGGATTTGCCACATTTCTGAAATTCGGTGCCACCCCTCACGCAGATCCGCGGGGTCAGGGTCCAAAAACCTGTTTTTCCATGGCCCATTCTCCGAGAGAGGGGGCCGGCGGCAGGGGGCGAAGCCCTTACGGATTTGAGGAAGTCCTCAGCGAACGCGCGACTCCTGAATGGCAAGAACGAGGCGCCTGAGTAAATTGCGAGGAAGTCTCAGGCGGGAGCTCGATTCTTGAGTAAATTGTAAGGAAATCTCAAGCGGGAGCGGGGGACCGTAGTAAATTTCAAGGAAATATCGAGCGGATCCGACAAGACGGCCCCAACGATGGCTCTACCACCTCAGTCATGGTCTACCCCTTGGCGTGCATCCCGACGCCGCGCCGGCCCCGAGCGGCGGGGCCCGCCGCAGGCGGCCAGATAGTACTTCCCAGGGCCGCCCGCCCCCTCGATGTGCTTTGTGTCTGTCGCTGCCCGGGGTCACCACGGCGCCATCGTCGTCCAGCCCCGCCTGCGCAGGTGGCGGGCTGCCCCGCCGCCTCCGGCAGGGGCCGGCAGCGGACGTGCCCGTCCAGGCCGCAGCCCTCGTCCTTGCCGTCGAAGACCCGCCAGCCAGCGGCCGCGGAGGGGCGGCTGCCGCCCGCGCCGGCCGCGAGGTACGCGAAGCCGCCCTTTGGGTCGCCCAGCTTGTCGGAGATCTTCCACCGCTTCTTCCTCGCGGAGAAGAACATCTGCCGACCCGCGCTTACCAGGGGTTAGGGCGGCGTGTGAGACGGCTGATGCGTTCACTGTCTGGACGGGCCTCCATCGCTCCATCTCTCTCTCTCTCTCTCTCTCTCTCTTATTCTCTCTTTGTCTCTCTCTCTCTCTCTCTCACTCTCTCTCTCACTCTCCACTCCTCCTCCCTCCGCGGTCGCTCCTCCTCCTCTTCTCTTTGTCCTCTTCTCATCATTCCATATATTATCTTTACTATGCTGAGTATCTTCATGATTAATCAGAGGCAGCAGCGTGGAATGGGGATTCCCCGCTGCAATGTCCTGGCGGAGAACCGCGGGCCACGCCCGGAGGCCGCGAGGAGGACATCCACCTCCACGCCCACATCCTCCTCGACGTCCACCACCTCGTCCTCCTCCGTCCTCCGCAACAAGCACCTGCTCGTGAACCTTTTCAAGCAGCACCACCCTGGCATCCCCCTCCCAATGGTCCTCCTCCTCCTCCTCCTGGCCATCCTGGTCCTCCTCCTCCTCCTCCTCCTCCTCCTGTCCTCGTCCTCCTCCTCCGCTGCTGCTCTTCCTCCTCCCTCCTCCTCCTCCTCCTTCTCCTCCTCCTCCTCCTCCTCCTCCTCCTCCTCCTCCTCCTCCTCCTCCTCCCTCCTCCTCCTCCTCCTCCTCCTCCTCCTCCTCCCTTACCTCCTCCCTTACCTCCTCCTCGTCCTCCTCCCCCTCCTCCTCCGCCTGCTCCTGCGCCAGATCATCCTTTTCCTTCGCCTGCTCCCTGTCCTGTTCGTACTCCTCCTTCCCGTCCTTTTCGTCTTCACTGCCCCCCTCCTCCACTCTCACCGTTCTCCTCTTGCGCCTCCTCCCACTTTTCTTCGTCCTCCTGCTCCTCGTCCTCCTCCACCTTTTCATCCACTTTCTCATCCTCCTCCTCCTCCTCCTCCTCCTCCTCCTCTTCCCTCCCGCCCCCGGGCGGGCAGCCGGTTGGTGTGGGCGGCACCTCCCGGCGTCCGGGGGAACTGAAACCCGCTTAGTCGTGGCCTGTATGGGGGCTGCGCCACTGCCGAAACCACCCACCCACCCACGGCATTGCCGTGGGTGGGTGGGTGGTTTCGGCAGTGGGGGCACCGACCCCGGTCTTCGGGCCTAAACGGTAATCCCGATTCGGCTACGGCCGATTCGGGTCCCCTCCACTGTCTTGGCCCAGCGACTCCCCGGTCGCGCCAGGGTGTGGAGGGGGGGTCTGGCTTCGGCCAGGCTCATAGGGAGTCCTGCTCTGTCCCCCTTGGGCAAGGGGACTGGGGGGTGCAGGCCAGGGCACCCGCCCCGAGACTCGCACCAGGTGCCTGTGTCCCCGGCCAGTGCCTGGAGTGCCTGGCGGGTGGCAGGGGGGCCCCCTCCCCTCGGGGGGGGGCCGGTCCTGGAGGCGTTGGACGTGTACGTGCACCTCAGAGTCGTCCCCTCCCCTCCTAGGCCGTTTGAGGTTTGGAGCGGCCGAGGTGCACTAGGTCTCTCCCAACACACTGCATATGCCCTGGCAGTGTGCGTTTTTAATGTTTTGATTTCACTACGTGAAGGCGGAAATCCTGGAAATCCTCCCCTTCCCTCCCCCCTCCCTCCCACCTCCCTCCCACCCTTCCTCCGCCTCAGAAGCCCTGGAGGAGGACGGCAAGTGAGCGGTGCGGTTGCGGTTGCGCGCCCGCGGACGGGTTGAAATGTGTCGCCCAGTTGGGGTGGCGGTTGCGCGCCCGCGGGCGGTTTGAAATGCGTCGCCCAGTTGGGGTGGCGGTTGCGCGCCCGCGGGCGGGTTGAAATGTGTCACCCAGATGCGGTTGCGCGCCCGCGGGCGGGTTGAAATGTGTCGCCCGGTTGCGGTTGCGGTTGCGCGCCCGCGAGCGGGTCGAAATGTGTCGCCCAGTTGCGGTCGCGGTTGCGCGCCCGCATGCGGTTTGAAATGTGTCGCCCAGGTGCGGTTGCGCGCCTGCGAGCGGGTCGAAATGTGTCGCCCAGTTGCGGTTGCGGTTGCGCGCCCGCGGGCGGGTTGAAATGTGTCGCCCAGTTGCGGTTGCGGTTGCGCGCCCGCGGGCGGGTCGAAATGTGTCGCCCAGTTGCGGTTGCGCGCCCGCGGGCGGTTTGATGTGTCGTGCGGTTTTGCGCGCCCGCGGGCGGGTTGAACTGTGTCGTCTAGTTGCGATTGCGCGCCCGCGGGCGGTTTGAAATGTGCCGCCCAGATGCGGTTGCGGTTGCGCGCCCGCGAGCGGGTTGAAAATGTGTCGCCCAGTTGCGGTTGCGGTTGCGCGCCCGCGGGCGGGTCGAAATGTGTCGCGTAGTTGCGGTTGCGGTTGCGCGCCCGTGCGGTTTGACATGTGTCGCCCAGTTGCGGTTGCGCGCCCGCGGGCGGGATGAAATGTGTCGCCAAGGTGCGGTTGCCCGCGGGCGGGTCGAAATGTGGCGCCCAGTATCGGTTGCGGTTGCGCGCCCGCGGGCGGGTTGAAATGTGTCGCCCAGGTGCGGTTGCGCGCCCGCGGCGGGTTTGAAATGTGTCGCCCAATTGCGGTTGCGGTTGCGCGCCCGCGGGCGGGTTGAAATGTGTCGCCCAGTTGCGGTTGCGGTTGCGCGACCGCGGGCGGTCGAAATGTGTCGCCCAGTTGCGGTTGCGCGCCCGCGGGCGGGTTGAAATGTGTCGCCCAGTTGCGGTTCGTTGCGCGCCCGCGGGGGTTGTTTAAATGTGGCGCCTAAATGTGTCGCCCAGTTGCGGTTGCGCGCCCGCGGGCGGGTTGAAATGTGTCGCCCAGTTGCGGTTGCGGTTGCGCGCCCGCGGGCGGGTTGAAATGTGTCGCCCAGTTGTGGTTGCGGTTGCGCGCCCGCGGGCGGGTGGAAATGTGTCGCCCAGTTGCGATTGCGGTTGCGCGCCCGCGGGCGGGTCGAAATGTGTCGCCCAGTTGCTGTTGCGCGCCCGCGGGCGGGTTGAAATGTGTTGTTCAAGGTGCCCTCCGGACGTTCAGTCAGCCAATCAGTCAGTCACTGGGGGGCACGGAATTTCACCTGGCTCCGCCGGGAATCAATTATTATGCTAAGTCTTCATCGTATTATCAATCGCATGCCTATTCTTAGTATGTTGTTTGATTACTATTGGTATTACTATTATTCGTAATACTCCCATTCTTGTTATTCGTCGTATTACTCGTCGTAGTATCATTCGCATTCGTCTTCTTATTACTATTGTGTTAATATTGTTAGTATTGCTCTTTTTCTTAATATTATGTTTGTTAGTCGTATTATTATCATTACGAATACGAATATTATCATTAGTGTTACCATTCGGCCTCCTCCTCCTCCTCCCGCCTCCGCCCCCCTCGTTTCGCGTCCTGCACACCGCTGGCAGTGCCGCCCCTGGTGGACTTTCGAGGACATCCGAGTTCCGAGTTCCAAGTTCCACCCTCCTCCTTCCTCCGCCTTCTCTCTCCTCCTCCCTCCTCCTCCCTCCTCCTTCTCCTCCTCCTCCACCACCACCACGTCCCCCTCCTCGTCCTCCTGTTCCTCCTCCTCCTCCTCCGCCTCCGTCTCCGCCTCCTCCTCCTCCTCCTCATCCTCCTCCTCCTCCTCCCCCTCCTCCTCCTCCTCCTCCTCAGTCTCCTCCTCCCCCTCTCCTCCTCCTCCTCATCCTCCTCCTACACCTCCTCCTCCCCCTCCCCCTCCTCCTCCTCCTCCTCCTCCTCCTCCTCCTCCTGTCTGCGTGACCGCGTGTCCGTGTGTCTGTCTGTCTGTGTGTCTGTCTGTCTGTGTGTCTGTGTGTCTGTGTTTTTGTGTTGGTGTGTCTGTGTGTCTGTGTGTTGGTGTCTGTGTTCCGTGTGTCCGTGTGTCTGTGTGCCTGTGTGTCTGTGTGTTTCTGTGTCTGCGTGTCCGTGTGTCTGTGTGTATGTGTGTCTGTGTTTCTGTGTGTCTGTGTGTCTGTGTGTCTGTGTGTCTGTGTTTGTGTGTCTGTATGTCCGTGTGTCTTGTGTGTCCGTGTGTCCGTGTCTGTGTGTCTGCATGGCTGTGTGTTTGTGTGTCCGCGTGTTTGCGTGTCTGAGTATCTGCGTGTCTGTCTGTCTGTCTGTCTGTGTGACTGGTTGGCTGTGTGTCTGTGTATCATTGTGTCTGCGTGTCTGTGTGTCCGTGTGTCTGCGTGTCCGTCTGTCTGTGTGTCTGTGTGTCTGTCTGCCTGTGGATCTGTCTGTGTTGTCTTTCTGTGCGTCTGTGTGTGTGTCTGTCTGTCTGTGTGTCTGTGCGCGTGTATTTGTGTGTGTGTATGCGTGCGTGTGTGTGTGTGTGTGTCAGTGTGTGTGTGTGTGTGTGTGCGTGCGCGCGCGGCGCTGGCAGCCCCGTGCTGGCCCCCCCCCGCCCTTCCCCTTTCTCGGGCGCTCCGCGAGGGCGGAGTGGTTGGAGTGGAGGGAGGGCCGGCCCCAAAATGGAGCGGTGCCTCCCCCCTCCGGAGCGCTGAGAGGGGTGTGGTGGGTGGGGGGGGGCTCTGTCTGCCAGTCAGTGTGTCTGTGTGTCTATGTGTCTGTGTGTCTATATGTCTGTGTGTCTGTGTGTCCGTGTTTTTGTGCGTCTGTGTGTCAGTGTGTCAGTGTGTCTGTGTATATGTTTGTCTGTGTGTCTGTGTGTCTGTCTGTCTGGGTGTCTGTGTGTCTGTGTGCCTGTGTGCCTTTGTGCCTGCGTGTCTGTGTGTCAACGTGTCTGCGTGTCTGTGTGTTGGTGTGTCTGCGTGTCTGCGTGTCTGTGTGTCTGCGTGTCTGTGTGTCCGTGTGTCTGTGTGTCTGTGTGTCTGTGTGTCTGTGAATCTGGTGCTCTGTGTGTCTGTGTGCTTGAGTGTCTTTGTGTCTGTGTGTCTGCGTATTTGTGTGTCTGTATGTCTGTGTGTCTGTGTGCCTACGTGTCTGTGTTTCTGTGTGTCTGTGTGTCTGTGTGTCTGTGTGTCTATGTGTCCGTGTGTCTGTGTGTCTGTGTGTCTTTGTGTCTGTGTGTCTGTGTGTCTGTGTGTATGTGTGCCTGTGTCTGTGTGTCCGTGTGTCTTTTGTGTCTGTATGGCCGTGTGTCTGTCTGTCTGTCTGTGTGTGT